ATTGCAAAAGGGCTTGTACCCCCCCTGCCTTGTGTGCTCACATGTGCCCGAGTGATGCAAAGCCACAGACCCCAAAGGACTTTCTCCTCTCTGTCTCCTCTGTTAGCCTTCAGCACCTTGAACCCCCTCAGCTGCATGGATGGTGGTGGCTCCTATCATACCCTTAGACTCCACGTTTCTGTTCTGTTTTCCCAAGGCTGGCTGCTCCCAGGTGCTGCAGCTACTGCTAAGCTTCCACTTTGCATTCCCCAGATTCCAGCCTGGTGTGTCTAGGCAGATCTCTCTTGGCTGTTTAAATTGAAAACCAGTAACACTGAAATATACTGAGGTCAAAGGAAGTCAAACAACTGCTTTAGGCTTAGAGAGTACCAGGGGAGAGAGAGCCTGTGGGCAGCAAAGCTAATGGAACTGGTCTTCAATGCAGGAGCAGAATCATGACTACAGAGACACAAGAGCTGAGCAGGGATGTGCTGTGAAAACAGGAGAAGCAGGCAGCTAATGAAGTCCCAATTATTTTAATTCCAGGGAAATTCCAAAGCAGGACCAGCCGTAGCACATCCAAATTGCTGATGTTCTGGAAGTTTAGCACTTGTAGCAGTGGGTTTCCAAGATCTGTTCAAACCACTTTGCTGTTATTTTCCCTTTTATGACTGAGCAAAGATGGCAAAGCAGAGTTGAAATCTGAATGTTAGATTTCCACTAACCACGTGTTCTTAATGATCATAAGGAGAAAGACAAACTGACGTGCAGAACAGGGTTCATCCAATTGCACTTGTGTAGGAGGCAGCGAGGAGGGTATATGATGCTGTAGATAAAGCCGTGTTACTGTATAAGGATTGATTTGGGTTAATAACTTATATCTGAGTGATTGTGATGTGCAAGGAGAGATGGCAATGATGTTTCCAGACTCTGCAGAAAATCCCTGCTTCACCCAGGCACAGCTGAACTCTGCAGCCAAGTGCTTAATGCCATACCAGGTCAGTTGGGATATCAATGTCCTAACCAGAACAGTCAAAAGTGACGGAGTTCACCGTCTGCTGGCTGAGTGACACCCAGAAATTCTTTCCAGACTTACAAACAAGCAAAGAGACAAGTTTAAACCTGAACTTCAGGGTAATCACAGCATAAACAAACGTGGCACTGCCTGGAAAATCACTGTTGAGGCGTCACTTTTGACTGATCCAGATGAGAAGTTTCCAAAGTTGGGGTCACAACCCCTGAGGAGCACTGATGGAAGGGAGGTCATGAGCCTGGAAATGAGCTTGGGAACTGCTGATGTAGGCAGATGGATGGTCATGTCACAGGGGTCCCCTTGGAATACCCTTTTTCCCCTCTCCTGCCTCGGAAACAGTATCTCAAGTGGGGTTTAAAGCTGACAGGGCTGGCCTGTTTATAGCATGCTGCTGTGTTTTTAGAAGTAGCTCTCTGGAAAGGAGCCCAGGATGGTTAGGGAGATGGGAGCAAGGAAAGCTCCAGAGGGAAAGATATGGGGTGAGGAGAGGGAGGTCTGGCAAACAGGATCTGCCAAGCAAAACTAAGATTCAACACTGCCGGTGGGAAGAGATGGAGGCTTTTTAAGGTTGTAATGAAGTTTTAGAGCTGAAGTTGGAAGGTCAAAGTGCCTCTCCCAAGAGGTTAGGGGGACGTGCTTGGACTGCTCTATGAGAAGCCCCCGGTGCTGAGCTGGATACCATGATGTGGAAGCTAAGCTGGGTTTTGGTGGAATTAGTTTGTGGCCAAGGTAAGGTGTGTACAGCTCAAGTTTGTGGAAACCTATGGAACTCTCCTCTGGAAGTCACAGGAAAGAAAGAGAATCCTATTAAGTCAGGTGGGCTTTTACATTACCAAACTAGCATCAATCTAATAGGAGTGTCAGCACCATGAAATGGGTATCTTGAACAGTCCCAGGGCATGGAGGAGACAAGCAGTAGATTCTGGGCAATTAGAAGGGAGTACAGCAATAGCGCAGGTTCAGTTTGGGGTGGGAAATGGGCCTGGGGGCTGGCAAGCCAACACAGCCCTTCATCAAAAAGCAAACATTAAGGTGCGTGTGGTGCAATACCTGGCTGTGGCTACGTGCTAGGTACAACGCAGAGGGAAAGTCAACACCATTGTGTGATATTTATTTAATAGCGTTATGTCGAGAGGTATTCACAGGCAGGGAGGATTTTTCAGCCAGTGGCTTTCCTAGGTGCTGTCTTTCAGGATCAAGGATGGAGGGACAGGTCCTGCTCCAGTGCTGAGCAAGGTGCCACAAGAGAGTAAGGCACAACCAAATTGTCTGTTTGCCCTAATTGCTGTTACAGAGGCTCTAATATTGACCCATAGATGGTAGAGAAGAGGGGAAGCCAGGGAATGGTGGTGTGAGTGAGAGCAAGAAGTAGGGTTTCGGGAGCCTTTAACCCACTGGTGAGGCAGACCTAGGGACTTGTGAGCAAGGAAACCCTCTGTTTCTGCTTGTTTCTAGCAAGACAAAGACTTTATGAACCTTTTTAAGACTAAATGAATCTATGCCAAGCCTTCACAGCTATTTGAAATAGCAGCTAATTGCTCAAGAAAGTGATGTCTAACCTTCAGGCTTCTGTATCAAGGGCCCTGAGAGCTTTGCTCTTGATGGCACCTAATTTTGCAGGATTAGACTGAATTTGTAGGTAAGACTCAGTTAAAGCTTTTAAGCGTGTATCTTAAGTACAAGCCATAGAGGTTGTTCACAGACGTGCTTCAGACATGACCAGATTGATGCAGAACCAGCCCGTATACCCAGTTCTAGCGATCCAGCGTGGACCAGTCTCCACAAGTTTCTTTTCAGGGTTTAAACCAAGGCTTTGGTTTGAGAAATTCATGGTTTTATTTTCATAATTACCTTTAGTTTTGGAGCTGCCCTTCAGGCTATTTGGAAGCCATTGGAACATGCTCAAGTCTAACTCGGAGGCTTCTGTATTCCGTGTCAAATGCACAGACATCAAGCCTGAGGTTTCTGCTCCGATCATGTGGAAGATGGTTTTGACTTCCAAAGCTATGTGTGTTTCCCTGTAAGAAACTGATAACTCTTGTTTAATGCTGAGCTCGGAATATCTCATGTCAGACAGGCTGGTTTCTCCCATTAAAACATGTGACTTGACTTTCCCAAATGTTTTCCCCAAATACCCTTTTCCAGTGTGCAAAATAACCCATGGGAAAGAAAGTAGAGATCTCAGCATGATGCTTGAGATTATCACAGTTATCACATGTGCAAGGTAAAGAAAGGCTTTAGGGGCATATTACAGGATATTCATGGCCAGCTTGGGTTATGACTCAAGTGACTGGTGGCTTTAGGACAGCACTAATGTAGCCCTGCGGCTGACCCAGTCTATCTCTTTAGGTACACTTAATCTCCAGTCTCTTTCTGTTATATTTGTTTGGGTTGTTATGTGATACTACCTGTAAACATCTGAAGGTGTACGGCATCCTCTTTGCAGGGCTCTTTTTCTAGAGGACTAGCAGGAATATTTGATGCCCTCATGGAGTCTAACTATTCCCATTCTCATTCTTCATTGTTCCTGTTACTGCTGATTATAGAGCTCATCTCTGTGATGGCACCCTTAAACTGTTACAGGTTTTTGCTATAGGTTATTACAGAGCAAAGCTGTAGAAACAGATCAGTTCACTTAATGAAGTGCCTTTGGATCATGTTTTTGTTTGTAGAAAGACTTATTTTGTATTTCTATATTAACAGGGCATCTTCTAAGGAGCTGTGACCTCTAATCTCCTTTATGTATGGATTTGTGTATGTGGCTGTGACATGAGCTTGTTATCAAGACAGTATTTGAAGCAAACACCCCAGGGCCATAGCAGTGGCCAGGTGATGCTATTTTGGAGTCAGCACAAAACCTCATTTATATTTTTCCAACATTTTGGGCTGTAGAGGGAATGTCAGACACCTTTATCTGGCTGATGCCATCAGGTGCTTTTGATTAGTTTCCTAATGTATATCCTAGAGATAGCCGGACATGCACATGAGTCTGGATGTGAATGGCACTGGAATTAAGTGGGATTCATTTTAGTTTATCAGGAAGGACAGCAGGGTAAGGCCTTGACAAGGTCTTTCAAGCTTGATGTAATTTGCGTCATCTTACTTGTTGCTTTCCTCATCTCCCTTCTCTTCTTCCCTGTATATTGCCATCATTTCTTAGTTTATCCAAATACATACTGCTGCATAGAGATTGTTCTTCTGCAGCTGGATCAGTGCTGGAGCTGGGCAGTCCCATGGGAGATGCATGGGAGAAGCTGTTCCCTGTGAGGGTGCTGAGGCGCTGGCACAGGGTGCCCAGAGAAGCTGTGGCTGCCCCATCCCTGGCAGTGTTCAAGGGCAGGTTGGACACAGGGGCTTGGAGCACCCTGCTCTAGTGGAAGGGGTCCCTGCCCGTGGCAGGGTTGGGACTGGATGAGCTTTAAGGTCCCTTCCAACCCAAACCAGTCTGGATTCTATGGTAAACAATGACATGTATGAAATCTCATACCTTCATGCCAGCGAATCCAAGCTTCGTACAGGAAGGATACGGCCGCAGAGTGCAGTTGTAGAAGATTAGCAGGCGTTAAGGAAAACGATTTCATAACTGTAACTTGTTTGGAGGAGCAGAATTTACTGAGAAGTCCCCGACTTTCTGTTTCCAGCAACCAGAAAGTGGAATTGTGGCACGTGTTTACAAGCAGGGAAGCTGAACTGCAGGAAGCCACGTGATTGCCAGCCCATATATAGATCTCTAATGATGAAAGCAATGAAAACAACTTGCCATTACCAGCCTCCTGGAGCTGAGGTGTATTATCTCTGTGGAGCCATGCTCACTTATGTGTGGCCTAAGGCTCCTGCCCCCTTTATTCCAGGAATTTATATCACTAGATACTTCGGAGAAGTCACAGTCCCAAACTGAATGTGTGGGAGCTGATATGGGGGGGGGGGGGGGGGGGGGACGGACGGACACTTTGCTTTGGAAGCTCATAGCAATTCCATCCAGTAGGAAGAAAAGCACAACCCCTTGTTGTGTCGCTGAGTGCTAATAGCCAAGTAAATAAGCAAATCTCAGTTCAATAAGATTGTAATGGATGGAGCAAGTTTATCAGACAAGTAGAAAATAGGAAAGGAAGGGTCTGCTGCTATCTGGTGACTCTTAGGTGTGCATTTCCTCCCAGCTCTTCACCTCCTGCTATTCACAAATGACTACGAGCCTCGCTTCTTCAATCTTCCGTAAAGGATAGTATTGGTAAGAAGAAATACCCTGAAATAATGTGCTCTATGTTTATATATATAAATAATATAAAACAGGCTTTTGTTGTTGTGCTTAATCGTGCCCGCATTGGCTGAGGTGCTTGTTCAGCTCCAATGAAACAGGTTAATCCCTCAGGTCTGGGATGTTCCTGCTGCCTTGCCTGGCTTTTCTTAGGTATCTCCAAGTCAGATGCTGCATCCTGAGGTGTGTGTGCTCTTTCTCTCTGGATACCGGTGAATGCAGTGTGGAGAAGGTGTTTGTGCAGCTTAGTAGGGTGTCTGTCTCCGCTATGTGGGCTATAGTTAAAGGGGTGTTTGGAAACTGTGAATGGAATGGTTGTATCAGATATGGTCTGACTGAGCTGAGCTAAGTTGCACTAAAAGCAGTTGTGGGATTTTTGGAAGGGAATAGACAGCACAGGGAGAAGGCAATGTGCTGCAAGTGGGTAGATCCAGCCCATGGGTACCATATGTTTTGAAATCCTTGTGGTCTGGATAGTGACCAGCCAGTTCTTTTAGCCCGAGGCTCCCAGCTCCTCCCCACTGAGCGAGGAGTTCCTGCTGCTATAGAGCCCCCAGAGTGCCTCAGCACCCTGGAGCCCCGCTGTTGCTCATCAACAGACATACAAATAGAGCAAGGAGATGTTTGCAAAGAGAACTGGAGGTCACTGCTGCCCATACCCTGCTTTTCTGCAGGCTGCTGCTTTGATTTATGCATGATCAAACCTCACCAGAATCTGTTTGAAGTCCAGACAAACCCTGGGCTGATGAACTCTGTGCAGGAGGGAGCCTGGCCTGTGTAGACGTGTCAGCATTGCCAGCTGGATGCAGGATGAGATCTGAAACACAGGGGTCTGGAAGGCAGAAGCTTTGTGTTATGCAGCCTTTCTGTTCTTATAATGAAGGTATTAATAGGACCGAGCTCCTTTCATAATTCCACCCCTGTGGTACTACCAAAACTGCTCCTTCAGAGGTCTGCAGCCAGATACCCACATCATGAAGAAGGGCAGGGAGAGGGAGGGGGAGATTGCCCACAGCTAATACAAAACATGTGCCAGGGAGACAGCGACTATGCTCTGTGTTCATCTCTTAAAATGCAGTAAGAGCATCTCCTCAGAGCACAGGGATAACCTCAGGCACCAGGGAACTGTCAGCAGGTGTGACTCTGTCCTGGCTGTGACACAGCCAAAACTGTATGAGAAAACATGGGGTCAGTCCTCCATGGCCCAGATAATCCATTCACAGATAATGGAACACTATATCCAAGACATGATTTGACTGTTTTCTATGTTGAAGTATCTGTTGTCAGTCTGATGTAATGAAAACCCTGCCACTTACATTGATGTTCTTCCTTATTCTAATTAGGATTTGTAGAGGATTTAAGATCAGCTGAGCTGATGTTATATATGTTTATATGTAATGTTATATATAATTTAATATAATATATATTTTATATATATATGATGTAATATATAAGTATTTTACATAAAATACAAGGGTAATACTGGCCTTGAATAGGAAGTGGAGAGATTATACACAACTCTGCAGAGTGCACAGCAGTGCAGAAAACGGTCATCTTTTGAAGATGACTTGATTTCAGTGGAAAAGGTTCATCTTCCCATAAGCAGAGACCTTCCTCTGCTGTGACATAATCTCACTTTGTACTTTCTGTCTCCTTTATTCTTTCTGGGGAAAATACAGTGAGAAAGATAAAATACCCTGTGGTGGCCCCTACATCTCGGGGTTCTCTCATGCTGTGTGTCTTTCATGCCAGGTAACTTTCTAACAGGTGTTGCTAGAGGAGTTTCATGGCTCTCATTAAAATGAGTTGTTTGCTTTAGGACTTTAAAGTGGAAGACGAAATCTCTTGCCATAGAGAAGATGCAGAACCTTCAAGAGGCACTTAGGGCCTTCAGGATCAGCCCCTTCCTGCCTGATCCAGCACTCTTGATGCCAGTGGCAGTTTTACCCTTGATTTCAAACCAAATCCAGCCTGAGGGCTGTGGTTCTTTCTTTCCATCATCCCTTTGGGCAGTTCAGATGCTCATCCTCACCTACAGCGTGCAGGGGCAGTGAGACAGGAGCTTTGCGCCATGCACAATGGGAGCTTTACCCCCAAGTGCTGACAATCCAAGTTTAGATTTGGCACCATGAGTGACAGTCATAAACAGGAGTTGGGAATAGGCCCGGTGGAGGTCAGGGCAGCGGGAGCAGGGGATGCTCTGGTCTGGGAGGTGGAAATCCTGAGGGCTGCACTGATTGCAGTGAATCACCGGCGGGAGGCTGAAGGGAAGAAGCAGGGCAGCAGAAGGATGTGGCTGTGGGGAGACCTGCTGAGCAGAGATTAGGAGGGACAGTTCATGCCCAGAGGACTAGAATAGCTTGTCCACTAGTTTCATTGTTTTAGGCATTTAAAACACACTGGGTAAATCACTAACAAAGATGCCCAAGGGAACAATGTTGTATCAGTTATCTTCCTGAGCATTTGACTGTTTTGGTTCTATTTATTCGAGACAAAAGAGCTTCTTTGTGATGTTTCATCTTTAGTCTGAATGTCTCTAATTTGGACATCCATTTAATTTGGAAGGTTTCCACAAGATGCCAGTAATTGTCTGATTAAAGTCATGACTTAGAACCAAATGTCTTTCTCACCCCATGTTGCTGACCGCAGCCTCGGTTATGAGTTGTGGAAGAATGCTACAATCCAGTGTGTGTGTTCTCTTTGCGGGCTCGGCTTAGTTTTATTTATAACATTGTGGCTGGACAATGATAAATGTCCATGATGCCGGTTGCGAGGCTTTAGGTACAAGTCTGCCTTTCAGCCATTGCATGGGAATGATTATTTGCTTCTAAAAACTGACGGCTGTGGAGTCTTAGTTCCTTTTTCTTAATAATCTCCGGGGAAAATAGGGCTTTACATAAAAGCCTTTTGTATGAAAGGTAAAACCAGGGCCCGCGTGGGATGATGGTATCTTTTCCATGTCTCTCTAACTTTTTCATGGAGAGACTGGAAGAAGCAGCATTGTTACTTCTGTTTCCCTTGAATTCCTTTCGTCAGTCCAGTGGCTCTGTGTGTCCCAATGACACATTTCTGGGTCACGTGTCCCAGAAAGAAGGGCTATATGGAGACACACGGCATGGAAAGTATTCTAGCTAGAGACTAGTTATGCTGTCAGGTTCCACACGTGCTGTAAATCTGTGTATTCCTCACATGCACTTTATTAATAGCACAAGACTGAGACAGGGAGACCAGACTCATTGCTCTTTATGTAAGTGAAATGACAGAAATATATTCTGTCTTGCTCCTTATCATGTTAAACCTGCCAATAGTTTATTATGGCCCATGAAATGCAGAGTAGCATGACTCAGAGCGCAGAGGCCTCCCCAAGCCAGACTGCATGCAAAGGCACAAGGACACAGCATGCAGCCTCCAGAACCAGTGGGGGCCTAGATGAGTGTTTCAAAAGCCAGTCTCAAGCATAACCAAACTGAGTGCTTGTTTAGGTTTTGGTCCAGTGAAAGCCTTGCAATGGAAGGGTTAGTTTTCTTGCTTGGCTTTGCCATCAAAGGGGTGCTGTTGCTCTTCCTGGTCATCTTTCTCCCATTCAATGGAATCTAGATTTCTCTGGTTAGGAGGTCAGAGGGAGAAAATGCTCTAATTGTAGGCTGTCTTTGTTCTGATTCTTCTCAGGTTCATCAGTCACTTCCACTGTAATTATTTCAGCTAGTAGTAGCAACAAACTGTTGTCTTGATCTGTGGATTAAGTGTAGCTGGAGGCACAAAGCAGAGCATTAGGAGATTACATGTCCAGTTCTCTGTGTTCCTACTAACAGGAAAAACTGAGAAATGTGACTCAATCCAAGTATTCATGGCCTCTTCCAGACACTGAATAAAAACAAGGAGCTGTATTAGCTGTGACCCTCCTGTATTAATTGCAGTCCATTAATTTACTCTTCAGCAACATGGAGAAGTACAGAAAGGCTTTCCCAGTTTGATGAGCATGAACTGGACTCCAAATATTCAGAGCCTGAGTTGTGCTCTGAGCTCATCCTAATAGCTATAAAAAGGGGTGCTTCAGAATATGATGAATCTGGATGCAGACACAGATGCCAGGTAGCAAATAATAGTGTGAATTATATAGGAGAGCTGTATACGATACAGGAGGCTTGGATTTTGTCTACTAGTGTAATTACCCATAGCAGGTAATAACTTGTACATCTTCATTTGAAGAACAACTAGAAATTCTTATGGAAGGCTTCCACCTTAAGAAGCAAAGTTGTCTCCATTCAACACCTTTTGTTTGAATGAGGCATTCAGATAATCGGTTCCTAAATGTAGGCAAGGAAAGGAAGCAGTAGAGCAGAAGGCTGGGAATCTGAGTCAGGATTTCTCCCCGCAGCTCTGTACCTAACATGCATTTTGACCTTGGTGAGTCACTTTCTTTTTTCCAAGCCTCAGTTTAACCATGTTTTTAAGATGGATAAACCAATATGTTTCCTGTGAGGATACTGCAGAAGAGGGGTTTGGATGTGAAAGATGCTTGGTGTAGTGTTAAATGGGCTGCATTTCTTCTCAGAAAGAAACACATCGTATGTAAAATTCAAAGCATTCCTCTGCCCTTAGGTTCAAATGAAGGAAATAAATTAGGAAAATGGTATTTAGGTGCTAAGCAGGATATGGCAATAGAACTATTGCATTTACATTTGCACCGTGAGTGAAGAATTCATCATAAATGTGCCAGGCCGACTTGGTTTTCTATCACATTTGGGGATGATTTACCTCCTGTACGACCAAAATAAAGACACATTAGTGGCTAAGAATATTTACTAAGGCTTCCAAGCTGATATGGGTTAGCTGAAGGGAAGTAATTGATTTTTGAATTCTCCTGGTTCCTTTTCCTCTATGTCTCAATTTAACAATTGAACTCTGGAAATCTTTCTGATGCTACTTGTAAGGGGTGGGAGAAGTCAGGGTACCCTCGAAGTGGAGCACTC